GATGCCATCGCTTCACAATGCAGGCCGGCGCGACGCAAAGTTGGACATCATCTCGATTTTGACTTGGGCTCGGGTCGTGGAGCTTTTCTCGTCCATATACCTGGTAAGTACAGAGAATAACCAGCAGTTAGAAGTAGCAATGTCCGAGCTATACCGGTGCAACGAGAGAGTCATCTAGCTCCATTGCATGAGCTTTGGCTCGACCCCTTTTGGTCGTGGTGGGCTACCCTGTTATGTTGAAAGCAGACCGTGCAGACAAATATCTCCCTCTGATCGATGATTCGCCTCAGATCTCGTAGCTGCTTTGTGTGAGGATTGATCGAGGAAGCATTTTCTTCATTGAGGAGTTCCACAAGTCCCAGATCCCTCAAGCTGAGTTCACATGGACATCCAGTCCTCACGTCGTGTTCAAAGCTGTAAACTCCCGCTTCAAAGCATCAGCATCGTGGAAGGTTGTCCGATAATTGAGGGCATCGTCCTTATGCAGCTCCATTATTTTGGCATCGGCTGTCATGCTGGCGTCAGGGTGGTAGAAGAAAGAGTTTGAGGAAGCGCTTGGAGGGTCGGTGCCGATGGTAGCGGATAACATTCTTGTCCATATTGCAAAAGAAGAAGAAGCAGGAGTCAAGCGAGTGACCAACTAATCCTTGGAGTATAACTGCTATGACAGGACTTTCCCGCCAACCAAATATCATTAACTGTGCCCGTAATTGCGACACATTCTCCGACGTTGCAGTATCACGTCTGGTTGTTCCAACAGCAACCTTACGTTCAGTTCCTCACTGTGGAACTGATCTGAAGTTGTTTACCCGCACTATCACATGTAGAGCCTTTACGTGGTAATAATTCTAAGAGCTCTTGCAGCTTCCCGTTTACTTTTATCCAGTGAACTGTAAGCTTTTCATATCACTGTATGGCTGCTTTTGTACGAGTCCAGAGAATATTTTCTAGAACTGTTTGAATTGCTCATTGATCATCGAAAACTCTGGTATACGTAGCTCTTTCCGATACCAATGTGCTGGAATGTTAGGAGAGGAATCCATTAATCAGTTTCCTAAGTGGAAGAAAACTGGGATGGCGGTGGTGCGTGTGTGTACGCAGCAGTAGGGCTAGCGGGCGCTGACGTTTTATATTTTCGAACTCTTTGAAACCTCCATTTCCTGCAATGATAACTCGTTAAGCCTCATTTCCAGACTCAGAATAAGTTCACTTGCGCATTCTGAAAATGCATCACTTTCTTTTTCAAGTCAGCACTTTTCAAATTCCGAAGCTGACTTGTTTTGGTTCCCGATCGAAATCAAGTGAATTACGACATTACGCTAGATGCGGATAAAGATGTAAAGCTCCTTACGAATAGAGGGAAACTCCCACCCTTCTTTATATTTCTCGCATTCTAGAGATGATGTCTTTGACGTCATTCAGATGTCTTGTGAGAAGCTGCTCAGTAGCAGTTAGCACTACCATTAGAACTCATAAGAAAGTTGTGAAAGGTAAGAGTGAAGTGAATGCGAAAGTAGGTAAAGAGTGTGAATGACCAGAACGAAGAGAAAAGACAAGTGTCAGAGTTGTATGTTAGGTGCTTCTATAAAGAAGATACGAATGTTGTTTCATACGAAAGTTTGATTTGAAGAATTCAAGTGAATGTTGATGTTTGTATACCAGCCTACTATACATCTATTCCCACGTGAGGCTTACTGTAATCTACAAAGCATTTCTGATATGCGCAAATCTAATGAGAGTTGCGACTCTCATTAGATTAGATTAGATTAAGCCATCTCTCTTCGCATCGTCTCTAGCCTCAGCCGGCCTGTAGCCGAAAAAACCTGAATCGTAGAATGCTTGCTGGTCCGCGAACAGTAGCAAATCACGAGTATCCCTCATGGATCACCCGACCGGCACCCTGGTGTCCGGTATACCTCATACATGATTCAAATCCGATTCGGATCCATACTCCGCTGACGATCGAAGATCAGAGACGCCGCCGCATTTGCCAAGGTTTCGAAGATCAGGTGGGCCGGACACGTCATGCGTTTCGAGGACGACCGCTGGACCAGAGCGATCACCGACTGGATTCCACGGGATGTCAAGCGAACGCCTGGACGACCGCCTATGCGATGGTCAGACTTCTTCGTGAAAGCTCTGAACGAATGGTATGAAGTTCATCGTGTCCCTCGAGCAGAGAGAGTTCATTGGGCAACTCTTGCACGTTGCAGGGACGAATGGAGACGTTACTGGCGCCCGCTCGAGGAACTCGATGATCAACGGGAGCACAGGTGATACAGGTGACAGGTGAAGCCAAGGACTACCAACGGTATGGTCATAACCGTCTCTCAACGTTTGCGTGACTTGAGAGCAAGCGTGAAACGCTTTGATGACCACTTGCTGAAGCCGTAGTCGTTGTCGAGCAACAATTGTACCATTCTTCATTACTTATGCTCCGCAAACTGGGTGCAGCGAGCGAACCAAGGACGGGTACTGATTCCTGCTTGAGGAGACAGCTAAGATAAGGTCAGAAGACGTCGTCGTAGTCGCAGGTGACCTAAATGGAGAGTAGGCGCTAAGAAAGACGGCTACACTGGCCGCGGTGGTTTCAGTTATGGGTCGTGTAACGTCAAAGGCGAGCGAATCCTCGAGTATGCAGAGGCACAGAACCAGGTCATTGTAAATACGAAAATTTCACAAACGCGACTCCCACCTGATCAGCTTTCACAGCGGGGGTACAAGAACACACATTGATTGCGTCCTTGTCTGACATCGCGACCATGAGCTCGTCACAGATGCGAAGATTGTGCCGCATGAGACAGTTGTCCCCCCAACATCGTCCGGTAATCTGTACATTAAAGATCGCAACGCCCAGGGTCAAAAAGGTCGAACGATGCAGTCCCGAGAGAATTAAGTAGTGGCGTCTGAAAGAAAAGGAGGCACCTATAATTTCTCGTACGCGACTTCTCACCGTCACGACAGTCTACGAGGCTCGGAACGGTGCTGCCAAAGCGACAGCCTGGAAGGCGTAAAATTAATAAGCAGCCATGGTTGTGGACAGACAGTGTGAGAGAAATGGTCCGCGAAAAGAACAGGCGCTACCATGCTTTCCTTGGAGACGAGTCAGTTGATAACTGGCAGAAGTACCAGAAGCGAAGGGTGCAGCAAAGAAGGCTGCAGCTGCTGCAACAGCCGCTCGTTCTGAAGAGGTCAGTAGGGAACTGGAATCATGCGATGGGGAACGTTACTCTACCAACTTGCAAATGCCCTCCATCGCCACATCGAAGATATAGAGAAACTCCCTGGAGTCAACGTTGATAGTGGCCCCCTTTTGATGGACCGAGACAAGAAGAGCAAGCCATGGCATGACTTCTTCGAAAATATTTCAAACCTGGAGTATATACAGCCGGCATTTCCCTTTCGTCTTCGCAGTATGCGGTCTCGTTCAGAAGATAACCGTTGGAGAGACGGAAGCGGCTCCAAAGATGAAGTCAGGCTAAGCAAAAGGACCTGACGACGTTGCAGGCGACGCGTGGAAGTCACGGTGCTAATACTCTGCAGAGTGGTTGACGATATTCTCCGATTAAAGACACATGGTACGCTCAAACACATTGAGGGTGTATGAGACTATCAGCCCCCCAGCTGTCGATGTGTCGTGGTCCCCCCCCGCCCAAAACTGCACGGGGTCAGAGTACGGGGCCGTGGGAAAGTCGTAATTCCTTGCTACGCCGCCCGTTTCGCAAACTCACGTTTTTACTAACACCGTCCGCGCGGCGCGGTCGCGTGCAGCTCTCTTGGCTTTTTGCCAAGTCCTGTAATTGCGCTTTGGAATACAAGTACAACGCAATTTCTTTATGCGGATAACATTTTAGGTGCTGCAAAATAAGAACCGAAGATGATGACGAGGGCTAGAACTCAAGAGCAACTGTGGTGCTTCTGCAATATCCCTCAGAGGCCGCGCATTCCCACAGAACAATAAAAACGGACAACATGACAATAAAACATGACAATACAAGCAAAACGCAATTTCCTAACATTTGAGGTATTGCTCATGCTTCAAAGTCCGAATAGAAGGTGATGAAGATGACAAAGGCTAGAAATGAAGAACAACGAATGTAGATGTAAATAAAACAAAATTGAAAAAACTAAGGAAACGCAATAAATTAAAATCGCGTGTGCATTTCTGCGATCCGGCTCGAATCCGGCTCTAATGCTATAGAAATACTTCAAACTAACGAGTGGGACGCTTAGGCCGTTTTTTTTATTTTCATGTTTCGTGGAATGCGCGGCCTCTGAGGGATATTGCAGAAGCACCACAGTTGCTCTTGAGTTCTAGCCCTCGTCATCATCTTCGGTTCTTATTTTGCACCTAAAATGTTATCCGCATAAAGAAATTGCGTTGTACTTGTATTCCAAAGCGCAATTACAGGACTTGGCAAAAAGCCAAGAGAGCTGCACGCGACCGCGCCGACGGTGTTAGTAAAAACGTGAGTTTGCGAAACGGGCGGCGTAGCAAGGAATTACGACTTTCCCACGGCCCCGTACTCTGACCCCGTGCAGTTTTGGGCGGGGGACCACGACACATCGACAGCTGGGGGCTGATAGTCTCATACACCCTCAATGTGTTGAGCGTACCATGTGTCTTTAAGTTGCTGCTGACAAGGGAAGGATACACTCGTCATGGCCATTCAGGATGGGATGTATACTCCTAGAAGATGTAGATGTATACTCCTCCTGCTAAACGATTCCAAGAGAGAGGTTACGGACCTTTTTCTCCCCACTGTGCTTAACCATTGTGGTGGGCCTCCTGCCCATACTTTGTGCTTGTGGTTGAAGAGGCGACTGATGGGGTAGATCGTAATCTAAAACTTGGACCATGTTCAGGCCCCGAAAGGTGACGATCCAGCCGAACGTTAGGCTAGATTGGCTAAATAATCTAAACAATTTCGTATGGCACACTTGAAAACCAACCAGTTACCACCAATACGCTGCAATGCAAGTAAAGTTGGATACTGAAGTTACCATTTTTTGAGAAGGAATGCGAGTTTAGGTGCAACACTACCAGAACAACCTACTAATGACAATATATTGCTCATCTCTGATAAGGAATGTAGGGAAGTACCAAAAAAATGATCTCGAGGCAGACTGTTAAAGGAGAATGCCATACCTCTCACAGACATTCGTAGGAAAAGGCCGAGAGGTGGAATCAGAAGAGGTCGAACAAGTGCTACACTGCGTAACGCATTGCACAAATCACGTTGTATGTCGCTGTTGAGGGCCCATTCTACATCCTGCTTCAGTTCTTTTTCACTATTATAACATGAGAAACATCTCTGGAACACGAATAATAGGAAAAAAACTACTTCTCTTGAGAAGGAGACGTCGAGAGACTCCACATGTGAAATCTGTTCTTCTTCCAAGTGCTTCAGCGATATAGTTGAATAAGAAAGATAGTGTTTGTTGAATGCAATACAATGAATTGGTTTTGACTGAACCTGAAACCTGTTTTAGACCGAGGGAACAATTTCAATTTTAGAAGCATGGTAGAACGGTCAAACCGAGTCGGAAAACATTCCAAAAATCAAGGTGGTTTGGTTCGTCCCGCCACAGGGTACCACGTGGAACTGGAAGCCGAGCTATAATGGAACGAGGGTACAGCATCGTGAAGTGTAAAATGGCGGTAAAGGTACGACCACCCCCCTTCCCCAGCACCTACCTACCAATTTCCCACATTTTCTTCCCATATTTTCCAGTTTCTCCCAAAAAAATTTTCCATCGAGCGCGGAGGGGGGGGGGGATTGTGAAACGAGATTCTTAGATTGTCCCCAACTTTCTACCACTTTTTATGGCATTTTCCGAAAATTTTCTTGCTTTCCTCCGAAATTTCGCTGTCGAGCGGGAGCGGGAGGTGGGGGGGGGTGGAGGGTAAATAGTACTCTGAAACAGGACAAATCACGGAAAATCAACAACTGGGAAATTTTTTTCCCAACGCGGCAAATTTCTCTCAAAGCACATACGACCCTTCTCCCTCCCAACAACGACCAAATACGACCCCTCCTTCCAGCCAAAAAGTACGACCCCATATGTGTTTCACACAGCGATGCTGTACCCTCAATGGAACGGTAATAGCAGAGCGTTCGCTACAGCAGACGCGCACTCGCAATCCGACGAGTATGGCCTTTATGCGATGTAAGGATGGCATCGGGAAGTGTGTGTGTGTGTGTGTGTGTGTGTGTGTGTGTGTGTGTGTGTGTGTGTGTGTGTGTGTGTGTGTGTGTGTGTGTGTGGTGGAGGGTGGGGGAGCACCCAGGCCAATCCAGGAGTCTCACAATTCTTGGGAGACTCGAGCTACAACGCTGAATGTTGGCAACGTTAAGGGGCACTCATACGAGATAGCTAAAGCGCTGCAGCGCAGAAGAATCTATATTCACGCAATGAAGGAGACGAGGTAGCCCGGATGCCAGACGAAAGAGCCGAACACTACAAATAGTGGAGGTGTGATCCCGCCCCAGCGATCCTGTGACCAGATCAGTGGCGTAGTTAGGTCTAACCACCGCTTGATTTGGATCGCCGCCGCTATTGAACAACGGTTATATCACTTCTTTTCTGCATACCCCCCCCCCAAACTGGACATTCCGAGCGATCCAGAAACGATCACATCTGGGCTCTATAAATGAGAAGGCAAAATCGTTGCTTCTGGCGACACAAATGGACACAAGCGCTGCGGAAGGCGACTGCGCTTGTTATGATAGATTTTCGACGGCGATGGTGAGCAAATCTTGAGCTTGAGTGCATGCACTCGTCATTCCAGACCCAAAGTTTCGTAAACTGGATTAAGTCACTTCAATCTCATCAGCTTCTTCTAGCGGGAGTATCAGATAACAAAAAGACTTTGTCCTCATCAGGCATGGTGAATCACAGACGCGTGATGGTGGTGCGCATGAGACGATGTCACACGGTAACGCCCGCCGTCCGCAAGCTTAAGTTACAGAGGCCCGGCGAGACGGTTTTCAAAAAGTTGAGTAATGGCGAGCGGAAGAGCGAGAGGTAGCTGTGATTACGCGCGTTCGATTACTTATGCTTATCATTGTCGTGGAAACCTACAAAGAAGCTATTGAATCGATAACCCACTCCGCGCGCTCGCAACTCTGCACAACGAAGATTGTGTAGTAAAACACTGGAAAGCAGGCCTGGAAGCGGAAGGGCAGCATCAAACCAAGGTCCGCGTGAATGAGAGACTTGACCACATGTTTCTTGGGAACAAACCGTCTGCAGCTGGAGAAAACTCTAGGACCCGGAGAGCAGCATGGAACGATGCGGCTGCTGTGGAAGTCGCTCACTTCAGTGATGTCAGCAGGATACTGGAGACGCGCGACGGTAAGCGGAAACTGTAGCGCCTTGTCAAAACTGTTCGCCGTAAATCGAAAATCTAGAAAATTTTCTCAACAGCAGCGACGACAGTGGCCACCTTATGATAATCCGAAAGAGGATATTGCAGTGATGGAGCGACTGCTTAGATCTCGACAGTAGAGCTCACCCATCCGGGTGACTGAAAGGGAGTATTGCAGTGATTAAACGGTTACTCCGAAACGTCTCGTCAGAAGAGTTCCTCCCTCGAGCTATTCCTCTGTCGCTCCAGTATACGGTCCCGTTTGGAAAATCTCCGTCGAGAAAAACGAACCCACTCTGAAGAAGATGGAGGCAGGCGAAGCAACGGGTCCCGACGATTCGACAGCCGATTTGTGGAAGTCACAGCACCGGTAGGCTCAACGAAGGACGTAAACAGTTGTCACTGTGGTTTCGGTTATAGAACACGTAACGTCAATGGCGAGTGCAACCTGAACTAAGCAGAAGCGCATAACATCATAACCAGGAAGCCAAGAGTGCAGCAAGAAAGGCTGTAGGCTGCTGAAAAAAAACCTGAGCATATAAATACAAATATAGCGAAGGCCCATTTATCGACAGCGTCGACGGCCTAGGCTCGCCACCGCCAGACCAAAGATGTGGAGAAGTTCGTCGGCATCAACGACGAGAAGGGCCGTCTTTTGATGGACCGAAAGAAAGAAGCTGAGGCAATGGCGCCATTACTTCGAGAAAATCTCTATAGTAAATTATATACACCCGTCTATACCTCGTGCCTCACAAAGACATGGTCCGGCTGAAAAACGGAAGTCACGCTGCTGGAATTCGCGGAATGGCTGACGAAATTCTACAACGAGGTCGTTGCAGGGAAGGAGGTGCTGGAAGGGTGGAAAATGAGCACAACCGTTCCAATCCGGAAGAAGAACGGCAGCCCTGCAAACTGCAAAATTATCGTCCAATTCGCTTGCTCTCGCACACCATGAAAATTTTCTGAGCGAATTTTCGACAGTTGTATCCGTGATATCGTTCAGCTCTCCACCAATCGGTGGGACTTCGTAACGGGCTTTGGCACCATCAATGCTACACATGCCAGTGGCCTCTTGCTGGAAAGACATTCTTGACTTGGAGAAGGCATTCTATCGTGTTACGTGTGAAGTTATACGGTACGCCTACGACAGCACGGCGTTCCCGAAGAGCAGATTGAGTGGTGCGGATCTTATATTTCAGCCCAACGAGCCGCGTGCTGATATCAGCAGGCGTTTCGATGGAATTCCCCAGAAGATAGGGGTGCACCAAGATCCTGCGCTTTTCCCGTTCCCATTCGTTGTCGCCATTGATGCCATTCGACAAAACCTCCAGTTATCTCGAGCAACAGGTGGAAGCCTGATCTGAGCGCATGGCGAACTTCGGACACAGAATGAACGTCGAGAAAATGAGTACCTGACAACCGACTTGAATGGGTTCGGTACCTTTAGGGTAAACGGCAGTGAGCCGAGACGTACGACGACATTCAGATATCTGAGATCAGCACTTGCGTCTGGTAGCAGTCTGGACTCGGAAGTGAGTGCGAGTGTCAGTGTGGCTTGGTAAAAGTGGCGCTCGACTGGCGTTCTTTGTGACAAGACGATACCAGGGTGCCTCAGGTCGAAAATATAGAACCGTCGTTCGACCTGTCGCGATATACAGGGGGGGGGGGGCAAAAAAAAGTCATTCCGGCCGAGTCACATATGAGCGAAGTTTTCGCAGCCCAGACAGAGGAAGTGGATATGAGTACCAGGGCGGAAGATACCCAAGATCTTCCTCTATAAGCAGGAGCCGGCTGCCGCCATTCACCTTCATGTACACCAAAATATGAAGTCATCTCC